GTCGGCGGGGCGTGTAGCGTAGCGGCGCGTCCGACTTATATTTTGAGCGGGCAGAACACTACAGTACAAAAGCGTGTCGTGCATAACGAATGACCCACCTCGCATTACGTTTGTCACTAGTGTCTACACTTAGCTACGACTACGAGCTACGAGTAAGTGCTATAATTATATCAAAAACTAGCAGGCCTGGCAGAAATTGTCATGTCCTAAAGATATAATAAAACCTAGAACAAAATTGTAAACTATCCGGAGACCCATTCACATTTCATACCTATGCGGCCTGAGAGATGCATATGTCCAGAAGCGGACTTTTGATGGGCCGTTATAAATGAATGAATGAATATGAAAATGGTTTTTCATTCATTTTAGCTTACAACTTCCGCAGCCGACAACAGAAATCCCCTATTTTTGGATCTGGTTGAGTGGGGAGAACAACTTTCGTTCTTATAGTCAACGTATCAAAACCAAAGTTGTTATCGAAAGGATGATACAAATAAATGTAACCAATATATTATATAGTGTATGATTTGAATTTTCACGAAATTATGCCACCGACTTAGGAAAGCCTTTGTCAATATTGGCGTTGCATCCGAGTTTTAGCAGTCCATATAATGCTGTTTTGGTGATATTGAGCTATCTGGATCTCATTATCTATGAGACCTAAGAGTTTGTTATTTGGACAGATTAAACTTGGAGTAATAATCTTCAAATCTGTTGAAGCGAAAACAAGATTCGATAAAAAAATCTCGATTATAAAAAAGGAAAAATACCTCGTTTTGCACTTATTTTGAGTTAGATCTCTGAAACCTTATAGAGTTGAATGATGATTTTTAACGTAATAGATAGATAATAACATTGTCTCAAATCGTGACGATTTTTTTTTCTACGTGGTCTTCTCGTAATTACCAATTATGTGATTTGGCGCTTGCGTTATTTTATTCTAAGCGAGCACACACTCTTTCAGTCTCTTGTTTTGCACGCGGTAGTGATAGCGCTATCCTTTTCAATTTGTTGAATGATTCAAGTCTGCTGCGGCATCTATTGCAGGACGAACCTACGTTTGGGTTTGGCGACATTACAGAGAGACGACTATTTATTTCAATTTTTATTTAGATGAAGATCCAGTATAACCTGATCTCGCATTGTATAGGCTTCCCGTACAATAAGGGGTCAACTTATACCAGAAAAATTAGCTTGATAAGTAGCCGTTAGTATGTCTCATTAAACCACAAAGTTCTAAAGTATACATCGCATCCCATATTTTATTGAAAAATTAAACCATGTCAAAACAAAAAAGAAATTCGCCTGTAGTCCGGCTAAAATGTCACTTCATTGTAAGCTATTAGCTTTCTAAGTCATATCAAACCTCTGCCGCTGTCTATATAATGGTTTCTCACAAGTTTTTTCATTGGTACATTGTGAGTCAAGAACAATGTGACATTGTACCGTGGAATGGATTAGCGGCATAACGTCCGCATTCAAGACAATACGCGTCGATGGCATTATTGGCATCGACACCTTGCCTCGGTTTGTTTGCTTTTATGTTTAGATGCCAATGTCAGTCTCGTAGGTCAGTCTTATTCTGACAAAAGGTTGGCTAAATTAGTTATGCGAATACCAGATAAATTGTAAGACACGAAGACTTCGAATGCACATGGATTATTTTAAATCAATGTGCATTCGATTCTTAACATATAACTAAATTAATATAGTATATAGTATTAATAGAAATATAATAAAGATACTAAGTCTTACAAAGTACTCGTAAATTAGGGGCGACTTTGAATGCTATTCTGTAAAATTATGTGATAAGGGAAAAACGTGATTTGAAAAACGTAGTAACCAAGATTAAGAAAAAAGTGCTTCGGTGGTTTGACATGAAAGAATAATTATGAAATGCGAAAAGAGTGACACTGTAAGTTCATGCTGGAGAAGTAAAAGGTAGAATCGGCAAGGGACGCCCTAGACGGAATGTTATCAATTGATCACCAAAATTGGTGATCAATTGAGTACGGGCATGTACTCGTATGAGTAGATATATTGATGAGAAAGAAGCGAGGGGGATTTATCAGGATGAGGCCAAATGGACGTCCTTAGTCTGTTTAGTACTTCAAAAATATAAATTATGTATACAAATTTCAAACGTTGATACTCATTACATACTTTGCTTGTTATTATTTTTTTAGGTCGCTTTACAGTTCACTTCCGCCATATTTTTTATGCTGACGTTTAATATAGCCCACGTTACTCGTTAAGTGGTTAGCATACATGTGTACCTATGTAATTACTTTAATGTTGTTATGTTTGTCAAAATCCGATGACTAGTACAGGAGTTACGGGCGGACACAAGAATGGATTCGCATATAATAATTTTTTATTCATTTTATTTCTTTAGAAAACATTATCTCCACATTATAATTTTCTCCTGTATCACGAGGGATGTAAATATGAGGGACATACATAAATTTCACATGGACTACCAATAATGTTATAAATACAATATCTATATGTTTTTAAACATTAATACATACTAATCAAAAATATCCTACTCTCGTTTTGAGGTCAACCACAAGCGTGAATTAAAATAACATAGCTGGCAATTTTAATGTCATTTAAACAGATGTTGGTATACCATAAAAAACCAATCTGGCTGCCTAGCCTCACAATTGCAAATCTTTCTTCCAAATGGAGAGGCCCATCTTCTGCGATGGACTTTCACGGTCCGTCAATACAAGTGGGTAAATGAAACATTTTGTGCAACCGACTTCAATATAAAATTAAAATGAGTACAACAGTCTATTAAATACGCATTATTAAGGATAACTTAAAAACTACTAGTCAGATCTTGATTAAATTTATATGGGATTACTAGAAATAGTTCTGAAGTAACACACATAAAAAAATATAGTCGAATTGAATACCTCCTCTTTTTTGAAGTCGGTAAAAATACATATTAAATTTATATCGTATCGATATTTTCAAACAGATCGATATATCGTCATGTTTTGCATTATGTGGTAGGACAAGACTCAAAAGGGTTTTACTAGACGGTTGGACGACGAGAAACAAAACAACAGCACATGAATGCTTTTGTAGCCACTTTTGTTGCTGTATGTTTGATCTATTAATACAAAATTTTAAAATATATCGAAATTGATACGAATTCGATACTCTAAAATAAATATCGATATATCGAGATATAAAAATATCGGCGATATATATATATATATCGATTTTTTTATGAGAAATAATCGATATATCGATATTTTTTACCCAAGCTAGATGCATTTATTATTATTATTACTATTTTTTATTCTCAGAGGTGACAACGCATCTATAGCCTAATTTATTTGAAGTTGGTTGTCGGCGTCCATGGGCTGCAGTAGCCAGTCACCATCAGGTTGACTGTAATTCGTTCGGCACTTCGATTTTATAAAAAAAGTATGAACTCTGTATTGATAATGGTTATGAGAACACATTGAAAAGTTTTGATATTTGTAGCGCGCCGTTGCTTACACGCGATTAATTAAATTAACGACCGTTATGGTCGGTGTCAAGGTTCCAAGTTTAGAATTAGAACAAAATCGATCTATTACTGCGCCTACGCAATATGTAGGTGTGTACAGTGTTGTGGTGATAGTATTTACAATTCGCCCACACGGCTTCGACATTCGCTTATGACTAAAATATTTTTAACCTTGAATATTTTTATGAAACTCAAGGTCTACTAAATTTATATAAATAACGATATGGTAAAATATTAATACTTACTTTATTATTTTTTACTATTTAATTTAATATAACATAAATAAGTATAGTTATATGTTTAAACAGTCTCAGTATGACTAAGAAACATTTAAGAACAGATGAGGTAACATGGCTCCGTAGTTCACACCCTGAACAATGATTGCCGTTCAGGCTTACAGATAAAAAATCCCGGTCCAGATGTTTATCCATGTGGTATTTTTTAAAGTAAAATACATCTATCGTAGATGTATTTAAATTTAGATGTAAGGGATTTTTTTATTGTAAAATAAGGCTTAGTACTTAATAAAGACGGAAGATCCACGTGAGAGAGTCACGCTGAGCTATATTGCAGCTGTAGCACGAATGGGTCGGCTCGACCAGGATAGGTCGTCGCTTTCACAATAAACTACCATAAAGTAGCAGCTTACTGCTGCTGTGTTTCGTATGATGAGTACAGCGAATCATTGACTATTTTTACCGAAAACGAGGCATTCCATCTTAGGATGACAATGCATTTGGGTGAATCAACTTTTCTTTGTACGCTAATCAACAAATTGTAGATTTTTTTTTTATGATTAGTTTTCTGCTTAAAATGTGTTAGGACTACTTACAGTATAATAAGCTTTCAAATTAATAGCCGAGCAGCGAACTATTTAATGATTTTCATGTATTTTCAAATACTTAAATCAAATAAGAGATATAAAAATGTCTTTTGGGTAACCAACGTTTCAAGGTAATTTTCAGTAATTAAAAAAAGTTTGTATCAAATCTGAAATGCTTTATTGTTTAAAACCAATTGAAAGAACATGTAAGTGTTATCAAGTTAAGTATTAAAGAAATACTAAGACTAGAAATATTAATTTATATGTCTCTTGGGTCACCACTGCAACAGAAAAGATTTTACTTTATCTGTCTTATTTGATTACGGCAAAGTATATTAAAATAAATAAAAACTTCTTATTCCCTCTTTTAATGAATACACAGAACTAAAAAAAAACTTCAATTATTATTTATTAAGAAAAATAAAAAAGAAAATTACTATTGCGGAATTTGGGGACAGCACGGTGACCCATAAGACAATTTCAGTGACTCAAGAGACACATTTAAACAATACCTACAAATAATCAGTCAAATTACACTATGTAGCCAAATAAAAACAAGAATTTCTATAACAAAAATCAGTCTTAGACGTAACTAAATTAAAGAACTTAAAACTGTAACTAAAAAAACTATTTCAAAAATCTGCAAATTAATTACTTTTCGTGAACTTCAATACACTTTTCAAATTCGTAATAAAACTGCCCTCGTTTTTCAAAAGTCGTCGGTTTAGGAAGAATTTGAACAATATCTGTATAATCAACATCAGCTCTGTCACTATTATTTAAAATAAAAACCTTTTTTTGCTTAACAGATCTCATAAATGTCACTCTAATTTCCCCATCATCGTCTAAATCGTCCACCACACAAGCATATTTATATAACTTGCCTTTAGTAGCATGAACATTTACAATCAAAAAATCGCCACAGCGTACGGGTTGATTTTCTTTGCCTGATGAAGTGGAAGGAACTTGCTCGTCTTGTTTGTCTTGCTGTTCGTCTTCCGACAGTTCTTCAGGTGTATTGTAAACAAAATTATAACATTTATTTTTGCGCCCAGGTTTGCATAAATCTATTAATTGAATCTCACTTAAGGGTGTTGATACCGTCTTACGCTTTATAATATCGCTTAAAGGCACTTCATCATCAGAACTGCTTGGTAGCTCAGCGTTTACATTAGTGACTCCATCGCTTTCTTTTTCGGTTTCACAGATGTCTTCTTCAGCAAGAAGAGCCGTCGTATTATCTGAAGACGCAACAGAAGCATTGGAAATAGGCAGATACACTTTTGGTTGTAAACATTCACAGAAACCTCTTGTACAAAAGCAGCTGAGGGTTCTGTATTTTATTTCCTCTCGCACATCCGAAAATATTTGATGAACTTTTAATGTCCCCATAAGAGGCGAAATCTTAGGAGGAAGTTGTTTGGTTACGATTTCTATATCCTCAGCTGTAATTAAGTAGAGTTTGATTTTACTATTACCATCCAGTTTCTTGTAAAATGATTCCGCACAGGAAATGTCTTCACCACGAGCTACCATATCGTCTGCCGTTCGCTTTAGATACCCTCCAACACCATCGGCAGGGCCCTTTCCGTGGCCAGCTTCAAAGAATGACCAAGTCATTCTCCTAAACCCATAATCAAAAGTTTTAGTTGAGCTTAAATAAAAATTCTGCTTCTGCCTATACTGGCTAAATGGACCATCGGAAAAAAAGTGAATAGTTTCAGTTTTAGGGTTATTGGATTTTATATCTTTAAGAACAGGATCAAGATGAGCCCAAATGGCGCCAGGTTGATGATTTGTACATGCTGACACTGTACAGTAAGATTTAACTTTGTGTTTATGCTGTTCTTCTGGGATGTAAACAACTACAGTATGCAATGAGACTTGCTTCCTCGACCCCCCGAAGTGGTGCGCTTGAATCTCTGTGAAATTTGCAATTATAATTTTCGCTAAAATCTGCAACCACGATTACTTCGGTATCCTGTATATTATCTATCGCCTCTCTAAAATTTTTAAATTGACTTTTCATATTGTATATGTGTGTCTTTAATACTTTCAGTTCTTCGTTAAATATTTTCATTAATTCTTGAACTGTCCCTTCCTTGTCTTGCTGCACATTTTTGTAAACTTTAACTTTTTTGCCGTCTTTTTCATAATGTTCTTCAAGTCTTCCCCATTCTTTCCACTGTATTGTTTCCTTATCTTTGATAGATTCGTGCATTAAATACAGACTTTGACATTGTTGGCAAGTGCCATACATACATGCTTGATTATTCGGATCACAAACTGTTGCTAAAATTAACATGTTTAGGTCTTCTGTGTTTATTATAAACTTTTTTTCGTAAAGCGCTAGCTTTATAAGCAGGGTTTGTGTGACTTTTACATAAACACATTTCACGTCCATCAATCGAAGGCTTCACCACATAAAAAGGTCGATGTTTTGTAAAATAAAAGTAGGAGCACTTTATGTCAGGATTCTCTTGTTTAAAGGTTTTATATAGGTTTTTCATATTATCCAGTAAAAACCTCTTTTGGACTTTAATGCCATTTTTAGTTTTAGTTTCCTTTTTCCCTGCTGTAGCCCTGGATATGTCATCTCGCAAAAAAAAAGGTTTTAATTTTATGTGGAAGGTTTGTTACATTTTTTTCGCACTTTCACAGTAGTTCTCAGTTTTCCTTTTAGTCCTAGTGTTTCTTTTATTAAGTCTTGTCTTGTTGATCTATCAACATTTTCTAAGATGTTTTTTATTACGTTTTTCTCTTTAATCGTTTTAATACGTTTGTATCTTTCTTTTATGACATTAGTTAATTTAACATATTTCTCATTTTTGTCCGTCTCAGGGTGATTTATTACTTTTTTTTCGGAGATCCTATCTAATCGTTTCTTGTATTTCTCGTACTTTTTCTTCAATTTTATATTTTCTTCCTTGAGTTTCAAGTTTTCCCTGTACAGTTTTGACCTATCTCTTCTAATTTTTCTCCGAGCATTTTCTTTTTTCTTTGAAACACTAGGCGAGTTTCCAATATTAGGCCAGTTACGGGAAAAAGAAACATCCGTATCGGTATCGTTGTTTATAATTGGAAGAGGGTTTTCGTGTAATAACGATGGAGAACTAGGCGGCGTTATGTTAAGCAAACGGTTGAGGTTAGCTTTACGTTTTCTCGTATTTTTTTTTCTAAGTCTCCAGATAGTCCTTGCGTTGTACCTCTCTGTCGGTGTTAAGTCTTTCACTAATCTTTTTTTTTATGATAATTTTCTCTTTTCTTTTTTTTGTACTCCTCATACTTTAAAGGATTCCTTTTTAATTTTTCTTTATACCTCCTTTGCTTTTCAGCCGCAGTTAACGCCATTTTATCTAAAATGTAAATAGAAATATATGGTGAAAGAGTAGTTCATTTCAAAATAACTTTTATTTTATCAAAATTTTTTCAGACTACTTTTCTATGAAGAAGTTTGGCATTATAAATTTTTTACAAAATTCTCTATCCTGTGGTCTGAACAAAAGTCAGGTTTTACTTCAATACAAAAAGATTTTATTGTATTTTGATAACAAAAAAAACATACCTAAGAAATGTCGGCAGCAATAAATTCAATATATTATATTACTCGAAATTATTTACGTAAAAAAGATAAATTATATTCTCGCAAAAACTTTAATTACAATTTTATAATAAAACACAATACTAAAACACTAATAAAACACTAGAAAATCTAAAAATCAACACCATAAAATTCACGCGAAAATGGTGAATGAATGAAATAGATTATAAGTAAATATCCATAAGATAACTGTTTTTATTGCACTAGAGGATAGAAAATTTCATATTGATTCTATAATGCCAAACTTCTTCCTAGAAAACTAGTCTCTATATATAAGTTTTTATGGGTTAAAGTGCGGTGTCATGAGACCACTAGCGGATTGAGAGGTTAAAACAAACTCTAGTAAAAGTTCTTTGACGGGTAAAATTATAATAGGTACAAGAAAAATTATTAATTAAGAATATTTTATTGAAATATTTAATAATAATAAAAATAGAAGTCTCCTGGGTCACCAAACATTTCTCTTGGGTTACCAGTATAGTGACCCAATGGAACGGTAAGCCAGGAGACTTTTATAAGTAAAACGTTGATATTTTGGGGAAATAACAAACAAATATAAAAAATAGCCCTGTCAAGGAAAAATTAGACTAAATATCTTTGGTATAAGTATTAAATTACTGAAGGATTATTTAAAACTTACCGTAATTTCGCAGTCAGTCAGCGGAACCACAATAAATACACGTGCACTGTCTTCGAGCCGCGGTCGAAATGGCCGAGCCAATTCAAGGACAGAATACCGGTAACGGAAACCATATGATTCGCAGATTTGTTTCCTATAGCTGCGTCCACAATATCGCTATCTCGCTCTTTCTTATTCATTTCAAATTATGGTAAGCCAGCGGACTACGATAATGTACTCAAATCAGGGACAGACTTTTAAAGAATTTTAGAAAAAAAAATGTACTTACTAATATTAATTTATGCTAGTATTTAAGTAAATGAAATATTGTACTGCGTTATCCTCGCTTTAGAAGTAGGACGTTCCTAGTGATTTTTTATATGACGATACGAAATTCAACACTACGTAGCTAAGGGGACAAGTAAAATTTGTATGGGAGGATAATATTGTCCCTTAGCAAACCAAACTAATTCTTATTTATAATCAAAGTATGAAATACTTAAGATGAAAAAAAATGTTCTTTGTTCATCTAATTTTACAAAATAAGCAACAGTATTTAAAAAATATTTGTTATTTAACTGAAATCTTGGTCGAAGAGTCAAGGACAATCTTTGACAAAGAAAAGTTGATCCACCCATTTACATTTTGATTCTAATCCGAGAATAGATGTAGATGTCCACTGCCACGGCGTCCACCATCGGGTGGCCTTCTCCTACTGTGATAAAATTATAAATGTGAAATTTTGTATAGACGTTTGATTGGACGCTTATAATTTAATCATGTGAAAACTATTTTGGTAATACTTGACAACATTATAGATTACGAAACAGAATAAAAGAAAGTTTGAGCCTATCCCAAATTACAGATTTTTAATAAATATTCAGAAATAAAATTTCGTTTCTTATCGAGCATTGTTACCTATAATTTATAAAACTATAAAATGTGCTAACGAATTGGACTTCTTACCAATATCTCCAACGCGATAAGGTATCACAGGATTAAATAAAAATGTTTAGCAGCAGGTACAACGTTCTGCAAATTTTAGTTATAATAATTTCAGTACTAAAACTTTGTCAACTTTTAAATAAATGCGGGCGGAGCCACGGGCAAAAGCGTATAGGGTTTTACTTACACTTTTTCAACTTTAAGAAGGATTGCGTTGCGTGTTACTGAATAAGGGATTGTTGCTTCGGTTTTAAGTTTGTGTGTGTAACAGCAATTTATGTAATTGCTGTAATTAATATCTAAATGTATCTTATGAATGGGTGATAAAATCAAATATTATGTTCTAGTGTATTAATGGGTGCGTTTGGCAGAAAAAAGCGCTAGTAAGCGCTTATAAGCGCTGAAATAGTTTTCGGCCAGGACACGATTGCTACTTCAGTAGCGCTGACACAATCCGCCATTTTGCTTATTTAATTTGTTTGTTTTGAAGTAGAGTTTATAAGTTGTTTTGTGCAATATTAGTATTAAGTAATATAATGACATGAATAAACATATACATGTTATTAAAAATTCATGATTGGTAAGTTTTTAATATGAATACTTTACAAATATATATTTAAATTAGGTTAGGTTCCCCGGTTAAAACTAACATCGTGTCCTGAAGGAAAATAGCTACTTACGATTTGACAGCACTTACCGCTTACGATCGCCATTTTGCTTACAAGCGCTTGCTAGCGCTTTTTTCTTCCAAACGCACCCAATGAGTTTTAATCGAAATTCTATTTTCGAAATGACATGATAATACATATTCGCCATTACAAATAAATAAAACTTCATTAACATACTTTTTCATGTGGAACATTCGTCAGTATATAATATCAGTCGATGTGGCATATAAATAGGTTGAATATAATGAAATGGATAGATAATAGATATCAAGCACTCATAGAATATCAGCGTCAATTTAGCAGCAACTACTTACTGTCTTGCATTTGTTTTTGATGTAAACGTTTAAATAGCTGTTTATATAATGTTTTCTGATATGTTCGATAGTGAAGGAAAATATCGACACGAAATCTGCGTGTTTGAGAAGATAAAAAACACGAGGATATGTAAACTCTACAATCGTATGGGCAACGCGCGATACTGTTTACCTCTTTATTTTTATTTTTTGTAATGGACTAATACGAATGTACTTTTTGCAGTGTCAAGTGTTATAATATTATCCTTTTGATTAATTTGTTCAAAAACTTCTCAAAAATATGTTGAAGCATTATATTCCGGAGTTATTGGAATATTTCGACGGCAGCTTCAACCAGCAGATAGTCGATGACGATAATATATAAATGCAGAAAGCAACGAACTTCACGTCGTTTCATCGTGTATACTAATAGTTCAGATACGCAGACATTTAATACACAAAAAGCATTTTACGTATCAAAATCCACTTCAAACCATTATTTAAATTATAATGCAAGAACAGCAACCCGTCAGCGGTTAAGTTCCCGCCAAAACTCTCCAAGATAGGATTCGAATAGGATAGAGTTAACAAACGAACACACAGTCCACCTGATAGTAAGTTTTGTCTGTGGCCCATAGACATCTACATCCATCCTCGATTAAGAATCAAAATGCAGATGCAGAATGCGTTGTCACCCCTGAGGACTCAGATGGAATGTATTATTTCCAGTGAAGAGTATCCAGTTCTATACACTCAACATACGAAACTAACTAACTAAATAACGTGCATTAAGACGACACATCGAAAAGGCTATCGCCGTACTGATCCGAGTGAATACATAATTTCTATAAAAACTTGAAAAAACGCCGTCATAAGGTCTAAAATAGCGTAGCGCCAGCGACGATTAAAAGCGCTTAGAAATTGTCAGAATCTTAAAATATATTTTTTTTAAATTATTCAAGCATATAGATTAAGTAATTTCGTTATAATTTCAACTATAGTGATTTTTGGAGGTGTTTTCACAAATAATTATGATCGAGTCAAAATTATACAATCGTGTTTTTGAACAATCAAATTCAAGATAAAGACATGAATTTACCTATATCAAAATTCCACTTTCGTTAGTGGTGTCATAGTCCTATACTATTCGATGAAAGGAGATGCATTTTTTCACAGTGT